ACCGCCTCGGGACCATGAGCCCAGAGGATCGGGAGGCCTGGCGCCAGATCAGAGAGGACCCCAAACGCGATCATTGCGGCCGGTTCATCTTGCTGACGACCCCCCAGAGTTATGACAGCCGTTTCGCCAACTTCGTGAGTCGGACTCGAAGACTTCCCCCGGATCCTACAAGGAAGGCTCCGGTATGGAAGACCAGCCATCGTATCACGGTCGGCCGAACGTTTCGCGACGAGTGTCATACTACGTATGGCGAAACCACCCCTATCGTTCTTAAACTAACGGCGTTGGCAGAGTGTTGGGCTCCTGCGCACTGGTTTCTGTCCGCGACGCCCTGCACGTCGTCCCCGGCAAATCTGGCAGCATTCATGCGTCTTACTGAAACCCGGCAGTGGCGGGCTGATCCCTGTACGCGCAAGAATAACTATCAGCTGCTTCAGCAGCTTGGAAAGCAGTTCAACACCGCTTCCGCCAAGGAAAATGTGACCCAGATTGACGCTATACTGGACCGCCTCGGCGCCTTCTTCCGTGCGATCAACTTTCTAAAACGGACGCAGGAATCCGTCTGGTTCGGCCGCACCTGCCTGGATCTTCCTGAGCAGATTGTACATCCTATCGACTGTCCTCTGGATGCCACTGACCGCGAGAATATCAAGCAGCTACGTGATACCCGTCTCGGCGATATCCATAGCGCCATGCACACGGTGAACCGCGGCGCCTTAAAGGTAAAGCTAAGCAGTATGACGCAAGCCATCCGCATCTGCGCGGCTTTTCCCGGTCTGCTCTGCCATGCCAAGCAGCAGGGAAAGGCCATTACGGACATTCCCACCACGGTAGAACGCATGGAGGCAGAGGACATCCTACCACACCCGGAGAACAGTTGGTTGGCCTCCCAGATTGATACGGTACTCCGTGGTTCGTCCCGCTGGGTCGCGGTTCAGCGGATTATCGACGGCCTGGGTATCGAATCCGACACCGGCCAACCGCGCAAGATCGTAATTCTGTCGCAATACCCGACCGTAGCAGTGATCGTATATCTCGTCAGTTGTCCTGAACCCTCTGTCTCTGTATCAGCAACCGCTCTAACGCTATCAGGCAATCTGCAAACACTATCCCGCTCACCATCCATATCTCGGCCTGAGGAACGCTGCAGACCGGTCGTTCTGGGTAGATAAGTTCCAGGAGCTGCCGACGGGGGCCAGCCTCATCTATAAAAACGAGCCTGCCCGCAGTCCCGGTATTTTTGTGGCTACGACCAACACTTCCTCCCGCGGGCTGACTCTTACCCGCGCCGCAAGCCTGATCCTTATGGAGGTGGACTGGCGCAGTACAAATCATACGCAGGCTTTTGGCCGCATCCGCAGGATCGGTCAAACTAGCCCGGTAGTCCACGACTATATCTTCCAGAACACTCAGGAAGAGGAAGATCAACGCGCCATCCTTAAAAATATGGCGAGACAGGCCCTCGAAAAGACGGTCAATACATACGGGCAAAAGGGATCTCCTTCCGGCCAGCAAGGCGAGGAAGATGACGGAATGATGTTAGATGAGGCATTACAGGCGTAACCATCGACGACCCTGGTTACCCCCTTGGGATCGTACGTTTTACTTTCACGCTGGAAGAACATTAGGAATGGGTCTTCGTTTCTGGGTTCGGGTTGGTTAATAATGTAATAAATCCCGATTGCATATAACTCAAGGTATCGCGGGGTTATCCCAGTATTGGTCGCGAAAATTCTAAGAATGTAGTATTCTAGCCCAGGCACTTATTATACAATCGAGACAGTT